GCACTCTTCAACCGGCCTCCCTCACACAGCATGACGATGATCTATCCACAGTGCGCGCCGGCGCAGACCAACAACAGGCGCCTGCACCCGGCGATTATCTCAAACCATTCGCTTCCATTCAATCTGGCTGGCTCGGCCCTCAAGGACAAATCCATGTCCATTCGTCTTTTCTCTGCGTGTGTTTAGATCATGCAGACTCCACACAGAAAGGCCACTGGGTGGAGTCGAACCCAGGACCTTCTTGCTGTGAGTGCTAACCACCACGCCACCGTGCCGCCCTGTCCTTTCCTTATGTTAGCGTGAAATAGTCAGAGACATGAACAATGTATGTGAGCGGAGGGAGATATGAAGGCAGAACACAGGTTTATGAATAGAAACAGAAAATGCGGCATAACATAAAATAAGACTAAGGAAGCAGTCGAACATCAATAACTATTAGATTCGATAATTATTAGACATCGATAACTATTACATCCAATGAATACCAGTCTCACTGGACAACAAGAGCTCTGTGTTGCACTGTCTGCAATGTTTGAGCCAAGCCACCTGACACGTGTGCTAAGAAGTGACCATACACACTACAGATTTGTAACAACACAACCCAGTAGCATTGCTACTAGTGACCAGCTAACCGCCACCACGTTACAACTTTAACCAGGTGTTAAAATGTTCATCAACCCGCGGTGTTTCACAAAAAAAGGCCAAAGTTATTATTGACATTATCTCCCTTCACATCAATAAGTCACAAGAATAATCTAATGTGTTTTTTGAGAAGTATATTGCAGAAACGCTCTGGCAATGAGCAGCAAGTTTTAAAAAAAGTTATGATTATTATTATATTAAACAAATTACAAAATAAGTAAATCACTTTATGAGTTAATACATATTAAAGGATTTATTTGTATCAGACAAGCATCAGTTTGAAAACACACACACACACACACCAGACTGTGTTAATTCTGGTGCACCCTTTGTGTTCTGTGTCGCCCTCCCAAGGGCCCGGACCCCGGGTTGGGAAACACTGCCTTGCGGCATAATCCCCCGACGCTCAGGTTCCTTAACTGCAGTATACTTCATCAATATCCAATGCAAGCGGATTTCAACTACTTACACTGACATGCAGTGTGTACCAGAACAATACCATGAGGTACGTACCTGGGATGCATTTTATTAGACAGTTCTAACAAGTTTCTCTTAATTCTTTCTAAACAAAAGCCCAAAGTGTTTTGAGTTCATTCAACTTATTATTAATACTTCTATTACTACTACTACTACTACTACTACTACTATCGTATATGCAAATAACTATGTGTTGACATCACACAATAAGGTGTAAAGCAAATGAGAAAAACTATTCGCCACACAATCTCATTATTATTATACCACTAAAGGCTCAGGCCTGTCTCACACAGTTCCAATTGAGAATCCAACAGGTAAACTGAGAAAAAAAACGTGTCTTACCTGTTGATCAAAGCCGCATGATTAGTGTCATTATGAAACACAAAAAAGGAAGGGGGAGAAAAAGACAATGGTTAGCCAGCTCAGCTTCAGTGCATTAAAAGACACATTAACATCCAACATCTGCAATTTCGTTAATGGATCAAGTTACCACACATTTTACACACAGTGTTTGGGTCAAGTTAGAGTAGTGAGTAAAGTCTGAGGAGCATAGATGTAGAATAACTGTAAAAAAAAAAGGAGATTGGAATAGAAACCCAGCATCATCAGGAGGAGGAGGCCTCAGACTGAGGTCATCTCAGGCTTTTCCCCAGCAGACCAGTGTTTCCCTTAGGTTTACGACTTTGTGGGGGTGGACCCGCACCGGCCTGACAGAAATGGGGGTGGCTAATCGGTGCGGCGCACAACCCATGTCCGCTGGTTGGACACGTGTGTGCATGCACAAGTCAGGATGGAACTGCCGTGCGCAGCCAGCAGTGGACAATTGTCAAACGTGAAAAAGACTTTCTTGGAGGGCAACGGTGGCGCTGGTTGAGGGGAAGAGCCCCCCTGTAATAATGGTAGGGAAAACACTGTGGTTGGTACTGTCACAGTTACAGACATAACTGCGTCTGCATTTAAGCCTTTACCTGTTTATTGACCTCCGCTCGAAACTTGGATGCACCTACTAAAGAGGCTGCACCTCTGCACCTATTTGAATACATTTTTTATGACATAAGGAAACCTTTTGGAGTTCATAAAATGTGTATTACTTTGATGCTTCAGAGTAAATAAATGCAATATACTACTTACATACGTAAATCGTATTTGTCCCTACAACATGGAGCTATCAGGTTGGAACAACTTCTAAGTCATAGCACAATGTATGTACAGTATTTCACTCTGAATGAGTGTAGCCGAACCAAATGAGAGAGGTTTTAGTAAAATCCTTACGGTAGTTTTAAGGGCCTGGAGTAAAAGGTGTGTGTTTGGTGTTAGTTTTAGGGATGAAACGGGGAAGGTCTAATGTATGTTAAAGACATGCGTTCTCTGTTGGCAGTTTGCTCCATCGGTGGGTTCACATTATTGTTATTAGTGGATTACAGAAAGGGCTCCGTAAGGGGTCTGCTCGGGTGGAGATTACATTCAACAACACTGATATTTGAGGGTGTTTTTATTTCACTTGATTTGTTCTTAACCTTGACAATACATTAAAAGTGTGACAGAAATATTTTAAGTTTCCTTAATGGAAGTCTTGATAGCAACATCTTGTGACATCATTGCGTCGTTTTATATTAGTGGTTTAGTTGTTATCATCAGACTTAAGCAATTAAGTAATATATCGAAAATCAGGAACTTCCTGTTTCAAAGTGATGCAGAAACCTTAATGTGTTTGTTACTTCTAGACTGGATTACTGCAATTCTTTATCATCAAGCTGCTCTTATAAATCTCCTAAGCCTCTCCAGCTGATTCAGAATGCTGCAGCAATGTACTTCTCCTCACCTACAAGGCACTTTCTGGTGAGGCAACGTCTTAAGGACCGTATAACACCATATTGCACCGACGTGTTGTTTCTAGAGTCTTAAAAAGTGGGATGGGACCCAGAGCCTTCAGTTATCAAGCTCCTCATTTATGGAACCAGCTTCCACTTTCAGTCCGGTGGGAAGATTGGCTCAGCTCATTTAAGATGAAGCTTAAAACTTTCCTCTTTGATTTTGCTTCTAGTTAGGGCTGGCTTAGGTTAGCCCAGACCAGCCCTTAGTTAAGCTGCTATAGGCTTAGACTGCAGGGGGACTTCTTAGGACACACCGAGCTCCTCTCTCACTCTCACCCTTTTCTTCTACAATAATTCATGTTTTATTAATGCACATCAGTAATTCAGCTTCTTCCCCGCAGATTTTTGTCTCCCCTCGCAGGTCTCCATGAATAATGGTTCTGTCTGGACCCTGGTCCTGACTCCTGCCTGGCCCGCAGACACCTACCGCTTCTAACACCATTGATGTTCCAATTTCTATTGCTGTAAATATTATTGGGTATTACTAACTTTGTTTCTTCCACAGAGTATTTGTGCTTTCTAGCCTCACATATTTTCCTGCTGACACCTGCTGCTGCTATCATCATTATTATTATTATTTTTAAATATGAATCATATTACTATTATTGTCATCATACAATTATCTCTGTTATATGAATTGAATGTATTGTACATCTTTTACATTGTTCATTCTGTACACATGACATCCATTGTAGTCTGTCCATCGGGAGAGGGATCCTCCTCTGTCTCTCACTAAGGTTTCCGCCCTTTTTTTTTCATGTTTTTCCTGTGCCGATGTGAAGGTTTCTGGACAGAGGATGTCGCATGTGTACAGACTGTAAAGCCCTCTGAGGCAAATTTGTAATTTGCAATTTTAGGCTATACAAAATAAAATGAATTGAATTAAGCATGGAACTATCCAGTTGTATACTGGAAAACATCTATCAAGGGAAGATTGAGCTATAATATATTATGTCAAATTGCAATTGTTATTTAATGGGATCAAATACTTTATATTTGATAGAATTGCCCTCTTCAAATGATATCAGCTAAATTAAACAGCTTATTGTCTGTTCACATGGTTGATCACCGATAGAAATGCAAGAAGACGGGCTGACACGTTTAAAGGTTGCACAGGGCACCACTAATGGGTCAAACAAACACAGGGCTATCTACAATTGTACATGCATACAAACTACAATCCTATCGTCAATTCAACCATGTGTTTTTTTAAGTCTAAACCTAGTTATTTCTTTCAATTTGTAACTCTCACTTTAGGATCAGTTTACTGTTAGCTAGCAATGACTAATGAGGCCCATTCAATCAAATGACAACTTTCATAATGGGTGTACAACTGGAGTGTGACGGAAACATTATCCTATTCTACCCTGTTTTGAGGTTGGTAGGTATGTGTGAGAATAGCTACTTTGTTGAATGTTCTACAATACCTTCAAATACCAGTTGTGCCTCTACAGAAAATATGTGATTATATAGACAGAGAGGAGATGGTGGAAGGTTACAATCACATGAAGCAGTAGATAGTAGCGCAAGCCAAAACAGCACCGCTATCAGAAGCAGTAGGTCAAGTAATAACATTGCTATGATCATGGTAACAGGAATACAGAGGCATGCAGAGGGGAGGCATATCTGACAATACACTGACAATACACTACTTCAATACACTACATTTGTGTACCATTCTCTTGCCAACAGCTGTTAAGAGTGATGTTACTGGACACAAATGTTTTTCTGGTAGAGAAAAAAAATGGTAGGGATTTTTTAAAGGTGATTTGAAGAAGATGTTTGAATCAATCTGTTCAAGATTTGAGCTGCTCTGCATCTATGTCTCTGTTATTACAAATACATACAGGAAAGGATAAAGCACCAAGCAGGCCTGGCGCTCAATCCACAGACAAAGAGCATAGAGGAAGACAAAAGATAGTCTTCCTAGCAGGAGCTAGCCTAGCCTACAATATTTTAATCAAATTTTCCCCATATTATTCATAATCTTCCCTGTAGTTCACCAACCTTCCAGTAGGGGGAGCTGTCGCGACGAGGACTCCTGGTGCTCTGAGTGTGCAGGGAGAACGGGAGGGGCTGCAAGGGTGACAGACGGGAGGGAAGTGGCTGTAATGGGCGTGACTACACTTTTGGGGGGAGTGTCTGATAATGCCGTGAGGGTGGCTTCATTCTTACAGGAAGAAGCTGAGGAGTTAAAGGGCATGGCTAAAGTGGTAGCAGACTGGATAGCTGCAGTAGAACCAAGTGTGGTTGGGGAGGACAAGAGCGTGGCCATGGGGACAAACGGCTTGGCATCGACGTTGAGGGCTGATCCCACCGCAGTCGCTGGAGGGTGTGTTCCTACAGAAAATACCAGTGATGGGCTTGTGGACGAGTTCGGAACAGAAGTGCCTGGTGAAGCTGGGACACCAACTTCTGCCAGAGTGGACTTAGTCAGGGAAGCCGTGGCAAGGGAAGGGGTGCAGGTTACAGGCGTTGGGGTTTGCGAGTCGGGAGTGCAACCTGGAGGAGTCTGCAGGACTGAATCCAGGAAAGAGAAAGTCTGAGAGACGGGGCTAAGATTGTCCCCGCTAATCAATGCTAAACTATCATCCCCAGCTCGACTACCCTTAAATTCAGGCTTGCCCGCCAAAACCTTCTGTTGATTTGCTTTCGGACCATCTTTATTAGACAAGGCAAAATCGTCTACACACATCGGCTCGTAGGAGCGTGGAGATGCATCTGTCACGGGGCTAGCATGGGAACGGTTGGTGAAAGTGGCAGGAATTTGTTCAGGGGGCGAGGTTAAAACAGAGCCCGGGTTGGAAGTTCTGGAGTCAAAGACCAGACCAGAGTTGGCTGTTGTTGCCGTGGTTGGAGCTACTGTAGCCAGGGGTGGGAGAGTGGGCGGCTGGGTCACCCCCCACTCTTCTGGAAGTCTTGCCCGACTCTTAGTCTTCCTGCCTTTCACTCTACCCCCTCCTCCACTCTCTCTGATCTCCCACTCCCAGTTCCCCTCGTCGTCCTCGTCATCCTCCACCTCCAGGCCGCCCTTATCCTGCCTCCCTTGCTTGTCTGATTGGCCGACGTTTTGCTCCTGGCTTGCCAAGAAGTCGTAGACGTGGTCACGGCCCTTCCTCTTCTTCTTCCGCCGCCTCTGCTGTTCCTTGCCAGCCTCGCCCCCCGGCCCAACTCTCTCAGGGCTGAGGGGTTCGGAGGCAGAGGAAGTGGGACTGCTGTCGTCCATTGAGCCGCTGGGAGGTAGGACGGGAGCTGCCAAGGAGTGTGGGGGTTGGGGGTGGGGGGTTTATAAGAGGAGGAACCGATCACATACTGTGTCAGAGAATCAACTGCCACAAAGCCATCAGATTGTGGTCACTGTAGGTGGTTTTCACTACATTCATTGTCTCATCGCAGTAGAGGAGTGTAACAACTGGTCTAACCAAAAGTGAAGGTGTAGTTAAGCTCATATTTCAAAGTAAATTAGCTCAGAATGAGCAATAACTGAAGGCGGTATGTTTTTTCTCTTCCACAAAATAACCGTTCTTTATTACAAAAATCTAGATAAACTCATGTATACCATTGTACATGTTTGGGGTGTAGTTCAAAGGTATGTTGAATAGGTCAGAGGTAGAGCTGTATTTACCTGTAAGAGTTGCAGGCTCCATGCAGTCCCTAGGTCCCTTGCACATGTAGGGTAGTTTCTTAAGAGATTTGTGTTAAATCTCGAGTTGAGTACCACAAAGCAAAGGCAAGGTCTGAGCTCAATACACACATAATGCCATACTAGCTCGAGCCCTGCATATTGCGTATCCTTAGTGTTTTCAGGGATTGTAACCACAATATGATTGCTTTTAGGCTTCTTTTGGTAAAAAATTCGGAATATTTGATAAAACACGATGTATGTGATGGTGCCTACTTTTATAAATACATTCAAACCTCAGATACCGTGTCATTTACTCACCTGTTCCAGACTTTCTATTTTTCAGCAAAGGCACTGCAGCGCAATGTGCAAAATCAAGACGTATATTTTTCAGTGCTGCTTTACAAAAACATAATGGTTCATCACTAAGCGAGAAGAGGTTCTGTGATTTATCTGCTTGGTTGTGTGCCCTCACTGGCAGCTGGTTTACATTAACTGTTCATTCACATTTTATACAAAATACTGTTTTTGTTTCAATTTGGATGATAGCTTTGAGAGACAAAAGCTCATTGTGACTGGAGGTTGAGTGCTTATCTGCCTTTTACATCTCTACAACAGTGTGCAACACTGTTGCTTTTGGACATTGAAGGATCAATTTTGAGAATGATTCTCTGGAAAATATGTTTGATCGACCTATTTTTAAACATCATCATCATGATGCATATGTTATGTCTTGTGTAGAGCAGACCTAAACAGACACGCCTCCACCAACGGAACTTTGAAGCAACTTAACAAGCTGAATAAACCAAGCACCTTAACATGCATGATTCAAAATAAAATGCATGCATGTTTGTAGGATCCTGGCAATAAATGGTTCATTGTCCCACATACAGGATCACATATGGAACATGTAACTGAATCACCACGCCATGACAAACCATGCACATGCAGCCTTTCAAAACACAAGGAGAAAGAAATCAGGTTGCACTGAAATGATCCCTTCAAGGCCTGCTCCCACTTCTCTTGTTTGGGGATTCATCCCAGTCTAGGCTATGGTTTTCCCTCTGAAGACAATATTTTGACAAGCATGTCGTCGGCTCAGAGAGAATGAGAGAGATGGAGATGAACACACTGGTGGACACGGACAGACAGAGGGAAGGCCGAATATATGCAAAACTTGCGCCTATACAACTCCTGTCGAACCGCACGCCATATTACGCCTCCCGTCTAAATTCCTATTCCTCTATCTCACCTTTCATCCTCCCATCCCGTCTAGCTGTCTTACATCACCGGATGTTAATGGGAATCCAGATAAAGGTGCACCCTTCCCTCTACATTGGCAAACCTTCCTCAGTTCTTCTAAATTGATTGAACTAGCTGTCTTCCTCCTTTTCGGCCTTCATTGCTTGTCCAGCAAAAAACAGTCCTGGGACATGGTCTATATTTAATGCGATACGATATTTAGTGAGAGAGTATGTGTTAATCTGGCCTCTGGCTAACTGCCCAGGGAAGCATTAATGTTGGAGCGCTGGCTGTTTCAAACGCATTGCCAGTGCAAAAGAAATGGGGGAATGGAGGGGGGATCAGGCAGAGGAGCAGGTGTAATACAGGAGGGTGGGAAAAAAGGCTTAATTGCATCATTATAATTCATAAACAAGGTACTTGTGTTTCTCGTATTTTTTAAGAGTCACAGCAAACTCTACACAATCATCATCAGAGCACAGAGCACTGACTTATCCATAACTCCCTCTGCGAGGGGTTTAATGGTGCTGCTTGCTTGTTCCTCCCTCACTGAGAGCAAAACACTCGACTAGATGACGATGATATCCTTGCTCCGAAATGGTGGAACAAGCTCTCTGAAGACACCAGGACCGCAGAGAGCCTTCACATCTTCAGACTAAAGACACACCTCTTCAGACTCTACCTCCACTAAAAACACTAACAAACTGTAGCACTTAATCTGTAGCAAGTTGTAAATCGGATTATTTTATGAAATTGCACATGAGATCTTGTTTCTTGTTCTTTTGAGTCTGTATCCTTATGGGTGGAATGAGATTATTGTAAATTGCTTTGGATGAACGCGTCAGCTAAATGACATGTAATGTAATGTGAGTCTGCTAGAGGCGGGAACACATGAGCTGTCATGGCTCGTTCTGCCTGGCAACAGGATTGGACTACTCTTACTCAACTACCGTATATTCCGGACTATAAGCCGCTTCTTTTTCCCCACGCTTTGAACCCTGCGGCTTACACAACGATGCGGCTAATGTATCATTTTTTTACGGGCTAATGCGCAAGAGCGAGACAGACAGGTACAAGTTACAAGCAACCAGTCTGGCTGTTGGAGACAGCCAGACTGGTTGACAGCGGCTGCACATGAACTTGTCATTAATGTCAATGGTGAGACGTGAACTCCGGAACGTACAACTCTGCGTCAGTAGCCATTTTTTCTGCTGCGTGGACCAGTGACGTGCGGTGGGTTGGGGGTTGGGAGGCAGTGACTCTTTCAAAGTCAGATTCACAAATTTATGAATTATGCTAAGTAGCATGAATTCACCATTCAACTGGCTGCTTGCAGTTCGACTCCTGGTTACGTTTCATATCCCGTATCGTATATTCTTTTATAATACGGGGCAAATGAAATCAAGCATTCTGATTGGTTGCGAGTGAGTCACAGGGTGTACTGAATTGAGCCATAATGTAATTTTACCTGCTTACATTGACCTGAGCGTTCATATCAGTGCGGTGATCAAAATAACAGTTCGATTTTACGCGACCGCTGGTTGTCATTTCAGTTTCTAGCTCTTTGGCGGCGCAAATGAGCAGTTTTGGGAAATGCGAGCTTTCGCAACCGATTTCTGTCACCTTTTAGCCAAAAAGGACCATTCCAAAAGGTGAGCAAAATGAATGAATGAGACAAATACATTAATGTTGATCTCCTTGCTAATCATCAACCAACTTCTGGTGCTATGCTAACAAACGTGTTGTTTGTCTGTTGCATAGTAACACCCAAGTACGGGGATTTTCTGTAGGCTACTGAAATGCGATACACAACGTTTGGTGGCTACGACTTGTTTTGTGCTTAGAGAAAGCTATTTACTTACTAATAATGTCACTCACAACCTAAGGGAGGGGTCTTCAACTATGAAGAGGTCCAGTTAAAGAACATTTCTAGAAGCAAAGGTCCGGAAGATCCTAGTGTGACTACTTAATGTGATTAAGGAATATCACATTTGCATCAAATCAATACACGACAAATCCAATCAATTGAGTATGATTCTAAAACTCTATATTTATTGTTTCGTAACAAAGAACTGAACATGTGTGACTGCAAATATAAATAATGTTCTCTTGATCAACTAAATAAAAGTAGAGCTGCATTTAAAAAAATAAATAAATAAAATGTGAAAAATTCTGCATGTTCAGAAAAAAATGAAATAACGGGAAAAAACTGCTTCACATTTGGACTTCTGAGCCCATGAGACACTGGTTTAGTGCTGCAGTGGGAAGTATGAGCAGAATCCAGTCTACTTCCGCTGTCTATTTCTTCCTCATTTTTCTCATCCGTCTCTTTCTCTTGCTTTCTCCATTTCACTCGTCTTTCTCTCAAATTTCATATCTTTCTTTTCTTCCTACAGTCTTTTTATTTGTCATTTGCCGCTACCTCTCTTGTCTGTATTAAGACGATATCCAGAAACCGCCTTGTTTTATTATCCCACATCTTTGCACACGCACCGTAAAATTTGTAGTGTTGATATCAGAACGCTCTACCTGAAATATCTTATATGATGATTAAAAGCAATTAGGGCAACCTATAGTATAAGTGGAGTTACATTACTGTAACATTTTTCATGGAATTTATTTCTGATGTTGTGCCCGTATCAGTACTTTGTACCATTTCAAATCCACGGCGTTGACCAATAGCTGGAGATAACGCCTCTGCATTCTGAGCTCAGAAGATTAGCTTCTCATGGTCACGTCATGGTGACGTAACATGTGGCAGAAAAGTGCGGTTTACACCATTTCAAGACCTCATAGACTGTCCAACTCAGTCAGTAAGTCTGTTGAATCAGTTCAATTTAGGGTGGAGATTGGGATTCGGCTACCACGTTGATCTATGATCTATGATTATTGTGGCCGAGATTAATGCAATAAAATATTTTAACCCTTTGTTTACTTCCTGTGTGCATTGACCCCCGAGTGGCAAACGGACCTCTTAAAGCACTGCTATGCTAAGCTAGCTGCTAGGCTACTTCCATCGCAACATCTTACCCTGCACCTCACACAGTCTGCAGAGAACCACCACTGTCTTTCTAAAAGACCGTGGTTTGAAAACATTCTGGCTAAATGTGGGGAGATTGTTGGCACTTCAAACACAGCCGTTAAATGATGGAGAGTTGAGAGCAAAGTGCACGAGGACAACAGGAAGAGTCGCTGGTTAAACATGTTCCACCAGGTGGAATTCTGCCTCCAAGATGATCAAATGGGTGTAGTTTTGTGTTTAAAATAACATTAACAATTAAACAAGTGTCTAAAATACACACTTTCTAAAGTGATTTCTCATTACTTACTACCGGTTTACTTCTGGTCAAACCGGAACGTAAACTAACTACGTTAAAATATTTTGTTGCGTTAATCTCGGCCGCATAGATTAACGTGTTTATGTTGACAGCCCTAATATTTATACAGGTCATTAAAGGTGTGAAAGGCAGTGTCCACGCCCCTGGCCATGTGACTTCTCCTGGTGCGTTCACTGTAACTAGGATTTCGAATGCATTTTGGTTGGTTACATTACATTGAATATTATTTCGTATTATTCTATTGATTACAGTTATAAATTACAGGGGTATTACACTATTCTCATTTCTTTATTGATTACATAGTTTCACATAGTTGCACAATCATAGCTGTATCCTGGTGTACACTAAATGCATTTCATTAATTGGTCTAATTTATGAACCGGATTGTCAATTTCTTTATAATAATCCAAAACGCCCAAATCAAGGCTACATAAAATGTATATGTACAGTCATCAAATCTACAGCTCCTATAATGCTCCTTGTTTTATCCGAAGCTTCCACCTGTCACGTGTGTTTGAGCGTCTATGTTGCTCAATAACGAGCATACGCGATACAACGTTAGCAGGACGACTTCACTCGCCAAAGTGGCTAATGAGAGTGACTGCTTTACCCATAACAGCCGAAATCTAAACGCATTTGGTGGGTTCCAATGTCAAGCTGCTCTGTGGGAAGGAGGTCAGCTTGGTTAATTCATTGAATCTACATTTCAACCCACACATGTAGCGTTACACCGCTTGTTACAATGCATTATACTGTTTGTATGGGTGAAGCTCATAATCACATTATAATGCATTTTAACAATAATTATGTTTTATCTAAATAATATTACAACTAGGGAAATTATAACAACTTTTAAGGATGTCAATGATGAATTACAGACATAATAGGAAGTACCTCATATCTTTATGCTACAAATGCAATTCTAAAAAGACAACAACTAGCCAACAGCATTGTGTAACAATGGTTTCTAAAAGTCTGTTAAGATTCCTGTGATAAACTGGGATAGTAACTTGTCACGGAGTGGTTCACTTCATGTTATATTTTGTAGTTTTCTGCCACTCGTGTCCCCGGGTAACTTCACTTCCTGCCTTGTCCCGTCATCCCCTGTGATCGTCTTAATAGGTTCCACCTGTGTCCAATCACCTGCACCTCCCCTAGTGTATTTAAACCATGTGTGTCTGTTGTCACTGGTCGCGTCATTGTCTTTCGCCACGCTTGTTCTTGTCTTTCGTCTTGGATGTCCGTAGTTTCTTGCCTGTGTGCTTTTGCCCCCGGTTCCTGTGTTTTTTGACCTTTTGACTATTAAAGTCTTTTGTTTCGGAGAAGTCTGCATTTGAGTCCTGCCTTCCACCCACACCCCTGACAGTAACTGTTATGTAACAAGCGCCTGTATTGGGCTATCTTTAGCACTGCTTGACAACAGAGGGTGAGGAGATCAAAATAAACCCTGAATACGAGCTTGATAAATGTTTGATGAGTTTAAAGTCAGATGCTGAGTCATTTTAAAAGTTTAGTTGAGGTCCCTGCGTATGCTTCTATTACAGAATCTGATATATGGCTTTTAGGCAAATTATACAGGAAGACTACAAACAGCACATCCGGCTGCTCGCCTTTACCGTTAAATCCTTTTTGTTCGTTCAGCTGTTATTGACTCGAGCTGCTGCTGATATGAACATGAATTAAATATATAAGGCAGCCACACATCTACAGAGGGAGCAGGTCTTTTTGTCCCAATCAGACTGCAGTAACTGCGTAAGACATATAACTATGGGTTGTCCTGTGTTTATTACTGCACTAGACCCATCTGTCTGTCGATCCAGTTTGTCAGTAGAGGTAGAAGGGAGGGGGGCGACCGCTGACGTCAAGGCAGAGCTGGGTCTGTGGGAAAGGCTGCCCTCTGCAGCTGAAAGTGAGTCCTGTGATGGACTTCTCAACCTGCCTCGGCTGTCCTTGCTGGCAACTTTCTTGAATAATGAACATAACATTTAAAAGGGTAAACATTCAAATTTAGGACAGGGTATAGTTATTTTCTGCCCATAACTGGAACCTTTCTAAAAACCTGACTACGTAAACTCCTCATCTCTCTTCCTTCTCCCTTGCTGCCACCGGGACACAATGACCACATGCAACCCACCAACCCCCTCCTGTCTCTGATACCTGCAGAGTGGTCCATGGAGTGGATTCCCGGGCTGCCAGATGAAAACGGATCGCTGGTTTTAAACGGACTGCTTCCACTGGTGTTGCTGCTGGTTTTGTTGTCCACTCCAAATAGGCCTGAACTCTTCTGGGTGTCCATGGCTGAACCCGTCCCAGTCTGGCTGAGAGGGGTGCTCATGCTGGTTTGGAACGGTGGAAGGCCAGACCCCATGGTCCCTCCCATTCCAGACTGAGGAAAGCCTGATGGAGAGATGCAACACACGGTTTCAGGACGGAAATGTTACATCGCATTGCATTAATAGTTGACTTTTAGAATTCCCTAAGTGATTTTAGACTGAAAAGAAAGTGTTCAGTGAGATGTTTGACTAAAAGGGGGCAGCTTGTGCTGAGATTAAAGTGCCCAGACTATTAAATAGACTTTCAGGAAGAAATGGCTCGAGTTTTTTGTTTTTGTGAAATTTAACGCCCAAACCAATATTTTTTTATGGGGATTTTTAATTAGATATGACTAAAGTAGTTTTTTCCTGTAATAATACTGGTGAGAACATGTAATTAATGTAACACGGTGGACTCTTATGAAGAGGAGCTGAACACTGTGGCGATGAAGGGCACATCCTAAGCTAATGGAAAAACAATCATTTTGAATTTCAGGCTATTATACACTAAGGAAAATCTACAGTTTATTTTATTTATTAGCACTCGTTATGGTCATATCAAAGACTGGGAGCTTAGTTGACCGTTCGCTAAGTTCCGCCCCTTGACCCGCGACCAGTTGTTGCGTAGCATCTGCCAGCTCTGACTAGGGCTTTCTTTCAAAAAAAAGGCTGGTTAAACGGACTCTCTGGTTGTTCTTAAAAATCTCTGTCTTACATTTTGGTTCTTCAAAAGACTAGATAACATCTTTGCAGTAAGTGCAGTTAGTGGCAGTGCGGGTTAGGGTTGGTCCATGGTAGCTCTTGCTGTTTAACCAGCCTGATCTCCAAAACCTGTTCGTAAAAATGTACACAAAAATCTTGAACATACAAATTCTATGTCAAACATTTCGTACATTTTTACGAACAGGTTTTGGAGATCACGTTGGTTTAACAGGTTAGCAGCTTGGAGCAAAGAGACAGTTTCTGTTTTTTGAATAAAAGTGATGCAAAGCTGATTGCGAAACCTGTTGAATGCTAAATTTCTATGCAGCACATGTGCAGTGTTATCACCAAACAGTGCTGACCAGCTACAACGCATCAGCTTGCGCCAAAGGTTTGTTTTTATAGATTACCCCCGGGATGATTTCTCATCAATCACAATACTTCTTTAGCAGCTTAATTTGTTTCTCACCAGATTTTTGCGAGCATATGAACAGGGAGGAAGGGGGAAGATATGACAGCCTTCCAAGCTTTAAAGTCTACAAGCTTTAAAGGCAATAAAAGACACACAAGGTGAAAAAGTAAAGGTGACCTAGAAATGAGTCAGGCATGCTGTTGTCCTTTGTCTTGTTCATGCTCCATTGATCTGTCCTCCCACCCATCATAGGACCTAAAAGGACAGACAGAAAGGCAGACAGACGGATGGAAAGAGAAATGGAAGAGTGACTCAGGGAAGTGAAATTGGAGAGTCAGAGATATCGGCGCCGCCGAAAGTCAAAATAGGTGGGAGGAGGGAAAAAAAGATGTTAGATAATAAGAGATGAGGAGGAGAACAGAATGAGCCACCAGAACATAGAAACAAATGCTAATGTAATATTACAGTAGTTTAAGTGAAATGGAATCACAAAAAACAATGTATCGGACCTTTAGGCGTGTCACAGTGGGAAAAACAAGTCAAGTGCCAGAAAGGATTTGAATGATGGCTGAATCATATAAGCTGCTTCAGTTACAGTGTCCTAGTGCACTGTCATGGCTGACCGGTACACCTAAATAGAACTATGACTGGTTTAAAAAAAAAACAAGGCGCATGAGCCAGAGATGCTGACCACTTGTCTCCTGTGAGCCCGTCTCAAGTCTTTCAGGAAGAGTTCATGTCAAGTATCAGGGTTTGGTTACAAGGTCAAGTCAAGTCTTTGAGATAGACTCCAAGTCATACCTCAGCTATATGATCTACAGTCCCAGTCATACTCTAGCCTCATATGCAGGGGTCTTCAACGTTTTCCAGGCCAAGGTCCCCCAAACTGATGGCGAGATGGAGCAGGGACCCCCTATTCTACGGAGTTTGGTCCGCCATCTTTTGTTTTTGAGCTTGGCGCTCTTTAGACGTGAGCATGAAGGCGATCTGATTGGCTGTTCCTTCAACTAACCCAGTCGTCATACCTCAGCCCTTTTCCCTACAGTCCCAGTTATGTCACGAGTCACGACTGTTGAGGTTTTTTTATTCAGACCTACAGGTCCCATGGGCTTCTACAACAAAACCTCTGACTCAAACTTGTGCAACTTCTATGCATTAGAAGAAAAACATTCCCTCCACCCTCACCAGACAGGTAGTCAGAGCTGAAGGCAGGCTGTCCTGGTGGGTCTTGGCGTCTACTTGATGACATCATTGACGACATCATACCTGGACCTAAAGGAGATAGAAAAAAGAATGATAAGCATGATCTTGGGTCAACATCATCACGGACAAGCTCACTATTAAATTGTTCATAGTCACACCAACAAAGATCTTTCCCTGAATCTGCCACTTGGCGCTTTCAGCTGTCTATCCATCAAACAGGTCCCACATCCCAAAACCAGCCTGTGCAGCCGGCGAGTGTGTATTTTTGTGTGTGTGAGTGTTATACATTTTGACAGTGAGGCAAGCAGATACAACACGTCGCTGAAGGGCCTGTCACCATGGTTACACAAAGACAGAACGACAGCATCTGGAGCTCCGAGGGCTACGCTTGCTGTTGGTGGGAGTGGATGTCTCTTACAGCGTTGCTGCAAATGTGCTACCCGCTGAGGCCCAAACTAACACACGCACACACTACATACTAACACTGCATCGTGTCAACCACTGCGCTGATACGGATCAAAAAGTTAGGGAAAAAATTCGTCCTATGCAGATGCTGTTTAAATAAAGACGGCTCCCGACATTTGTAATGTCTGAGCCGGCGGCTCGCAGCTAACGGTGCTCAACGCTGTCCCTTTGTTGACATTGTTCAACATCGAAGCTTAGATAGCACACACAGGGATAGAATGAGACATTACTTCACAATCTGTCACAGTTTGGGTTCATGTCCTGATTTATTTTGTAGTTTGTTGCCTCATGTCTCCCTGGTTAACTTCACTTCCTTCCTTGTCCTGTCATCCCCTGTGATTGTCTGTTGTGTCATGATTGTTTCCACCTGTGTCCAATCACCTGCACCTCCCTACTGTATTTTAGCCACATGTGTCTCTTGTCACTTGTCGCGTCATTGTTGAATGTTTTGGATGTTCCTGGTTCCCGTCTGCGTTTTTGCTTTTTGAGTTTTTGACCATTAAAGTCTCTTTTTGTTTGAAACGCTGCGTTTGAGTCCTGCCTTCCCCGCATCCTGACACAATCTTTGTCATCAGAGACAATAGTTTTGTTATTTGCTTCTTTCTTCTATCAAAGCCTCCCTCAATATTTATTGTACATAACCATCAGCTGTTTCCTGTTGCAATACGTGTGCTATATCTCTATACTTTCTTTGAGATGATGTACATTTGAATCTATATTTCTGTCACCATGGATAAGTCTGCCGCTGCACAGCAAATAGAATGTATCTGTCCGTGGTCCTGAAACACCACGGGAAACACAAACTGTAAGGAGGTATCAAGATATCACTAACCCAAATAAAAAGGATATTCTCATTTATTGGAAAGGAATGCAACACATGTGTTCTTTTGACTTCTCCATTCTCAAAAAAGCAAAGAGAGGAGGAAGACAAACAGCAGACTAAACAAGATTTAGATGTTTCTACTTTCTTTGCATGCAAGATGTAGCAGAACGTTGAGAAAAAAGAAGAACATTTCAGTTTCAGTGCAGTCGGTCAAAGGTGCCACAATAAGATTTTAATATTACCGTAAAAAATCATTATCATCACATTAAGTTTTAAAAATGTGAATTACAATGCCCAAAATGATGAATATTGTACGACTCTGCTTTGGCATTTTACAGGAAAGAAAAGACAAAATAAGAAATTACACGCACACAGTGCCACACACAGTGGAGCCAAACTTTGATCTTTAGATCTTTGATCTAAGAATCCCATCCCACTGATTATTATCAATGTGTATATTTGACATTATGATTGGGCAAACACAAAATCGCAGCTTCATATGTGAAGAGGTGGCTTTCACTTCAGGTGGCAGGCACGACAGTAACCTGAGAAGTTCATTTCTCCGCGGTGAGAATCATGGGAGACACTGAGTGTGCTAACGCTGCCTCTAAGCGTACACCTTGCAGAAGCCAGGTGGCACGGCTGCGTGCTGTGCAGTGCTGTCAAAGTGGTTGGGTGCTTGTTGCAGTGCTCTTTGCAACGATGGGCCATGTACTGTGGGGGTTACAGAGGATGAACCCAGATGCACCCAGCTCACAGCAAGAGAACAGCCTTTGTAGATGTTGTCCGTTAGCCTGTAAGCGCCCCGGGGTGCCTCTATATTTAGATTAACATGTTACGGTCCCTTTACAAATGGGCCACAAGGTTGTTGAGAAAGTACTATTTACTTTGACGTGCACATCAGTACTCTCGGTGTATGATTTATTGCGGCCTACCCCAGGTGGAAACCAGTGAGGAGACCATGTGTCCCGATCTTGTGTGTTATTATAAGGAAAATTATAACCCGGTTCATACATTCACCGCCCCTCCCTATGATTTTAATGGTCTCAAAGTGGGCAGTATCTGCAGTATCTGGCCCACAGCTGAAATGAGTTTGACACCCCCGACCTAATGTAATACCTCATTGCACCACTACATTCAGTAAAAGTCTTTCACTGAAAGACTTCACTTCTCACTTTTCGAACACGACACACTGTCTGTCCATGGCTACTCTTGTGTACTACTACACCGATCCACCACCGGTAGCAAAAGGTGAGTCCGGAAAATAGTTTTTTCTGCTCTTGATCCATACTGCTATACTTTTTAACATTTAACCTCATGGCTCCCCTTTGTTTATGTAAAAAAGAAAGTAAAAACCACAGTGACATCCCATAGTTGTTTCTGTAGCCGTCCCTTTTTTGTGAAGCTAACCTTGGCGCGCGTGTGTTTGTAACTGTACTAAATGCTTAAGTCTTTGTCTTTATGGCTCCCACATGTCTTTGTGTCTGTCGGACTTTCTGTCTGTCTCACTGTCTCTGTCTGACTGCCTGTCTATCCGTCTGACAATAAGTCAAGAGCTGTGCTGTAAACGCTTTACTTTTCTCATCTCATCCCCTTCAACATATCTTTTGAGCTCAGCACAATCAAGTCAAAACTATTGGCAGTGACAGCCAAGGTGTGTGTGTGTGTGTGTGTGTGTGTGTGTGTGTGTGTGTGTGTGTGTGTGTGTGTGTGTGTGTGGGGGTGTGTGTGTACACACACCCACACACACACAAACAGCATCAGCAGAATTGCATGAGTGTGGTGTGTGGTCTTCCACACACACACACACAGATGAATACAGACCACTCAGGGAAGCAAAAACCATGAGATAAACAAACCGGCCCATTCTACTGCAGTGACTGTCTTGCACACACGCACACTTCTGTGTGACCCGTACCACCAGAGGAGGCATGTGTGCTCCTGCCTCAGCAGACATGGCTCCTTCCCTTCCCAGCAGCACCATCAGACTGCAGCACAACACTACCAGCCGTGAGCGCACACCCAACTATACTGTACATATATAAGTAGATATTATCTTAATATTCTGCATATACATCTAAAATATTGTTTGATTTCTTTCCTGATGTAATTACAGTATATATATATATATATATATATATATATATATATATATAGATATAATTATATCTATATATAGATATATAGATATAATTGGTACTGTATAGCCCCGAGTACTGTACAGTACCAATTCTGAAGTCAGCATCTCTCCATGTTTCTTGCCACGGCCATTATACGGGGCATGCATCCAAGCAGACTTCGTTCTTGTGAGAGCTAAAATATCCAAGAATGCATTTCGCCTCAGCAACAGGAAACGAGGACGGAGGAAAATAAACACAACTGTAAGTACAATTTTGAAAAATACTAAGGTACATACTATATTTAAATCACAATTTAAGGATTTTTTCAGACGAGAAGTTAGTTGTTTAATCTACATTATTACCCTCATTTTGTCGTTACACACTTGGTAAAGCTCATTTTGTAAATCTAGTTCTTCAAGTAAATTGTAGCAAACCAGTCAACTTTAATTGAATTAAACTCAATTTCCCAACAACAAAAATAATGATAATGTGGTAACTTTGGAAAAGCACAAGCCACAGTGGCTGGTGAGCAAAAATGTTCATGTCAAGCCCTGCAAACACACACACACACACTCTGCCAGAGGACGTGTGCCTGCTTTTGGTGATCGATGTCACGCCAGCAGAGCATGTCAAAAACAATGTGAGACGATACGACAGCAAGATGGTTATCATAAAGGATTTTTAAAAACACGGCCGCAACTCCAACGTGCCATCTCTGTTTAGCATCAGAACTAGTGAATAACTGACTAGCTTCTGATAATTATGTTTAGGTGATATCAGCATATTGTGTGTATTAAACTGATGGATGATATCAGTCATATCAATGTTCCATTTCATCTTTCTCTAAAGACTCTTGAGTGTTACACATCAAGGAGTTTCTAGATAGATGCTTCAACTACTTATTGCCTATTTACATGGAAATAGACCTTCAAGCTCTACATAGTTCTACAGTAAGCTAGCATTAACAATGCTAAGCTAATGCAACAGTAACTCAGGTGGAGCCACAAAGTCAACAAACGTTCCTCGTACTTCCTGTACGAGTGCTGATGCTGAAGACAGGAATCATTTATTTACAAGAAGACCTTCTGCAGCCGTAAGGTTACATGATGAACACCACACGCTGCAGCCAAGCGTCCACTGTCCCTCACACTCAGAAACCTTAGTGAGAACGTCAGAGGAGGATCCGTCTCCTGATGGACAGACTACAATGAATGTCATGTGTACAGAATAAACAATGTAGAAGATGTACAATACATTCAATTCCTATAACAGAAATGATTGAAGTATACAGATGATGGTCTTGAACTCCTCAAACTGCGCTTGACTTCCTTTAAGTTTATTTGCCGTTGTATTAAATATCCTGGATTTGGTGATCGACTCTTCCGCCTTCTAACGTAGAACGTGCACATGCGATTGTCCTGATGACTGACATCTGGTTCAAACTAACGAGACTGTTTGAGCGCGGATCAGTCAGGCTATCCCGAGGCGCGGGTGGTCCGGGAGGGGGGTGCTGTGCGGACGGCACTGCGTTGGTGAACGACCTGGTTCCCCTGGTCCAACGCGTGCACTCACTCACACCCCCAGTTGACTATTTAGGAATAGCAGCTACTTTTATAGAAATGCAATTTATGTCTTCTCTCACAGTAGCAAAGTCATCTGGCGGGCCTTGAGTTTGACACCTGTGATTTAATGAATGAGCATGATGCTGTGTTTAAAACTTTAAACTAGAGACTGAGACCATTCATGTCACAATGTTTACTGAGGGAATACATCAAAAGAGTTGCGACCTGATGGCTATTAGAATGCAGGTTTAAGACACTTCCACATTTTCATGCTCACTTTTCAACAAGTAGGTGGACGCCTGATCTTGACCCATATCACAGCCTCTTGCTTCGTCTCTGCGGAGTTTTTTACCTCCCAAACTGCCCCAGGTGTCATTTATTAGAATATGTTGCCAAACTGTTTGTTCCCTACAGCTGTGGTGTGTTGCAATTCAGACACTGACAAGATAGATCACGGACTAGACTGTGAATGTGTGTGTGTGTGTGCGCTGGCTGATGGCAATCATGCCAGTACAGCGCTGTCTCCAGGCTGACACGGCTGACACGGCGGAACAATGACAGGAAAATAGAAGGGCGAGAGGACGGGTGCAACAGAGCAGCAGCGCTCAATGAGAGAAGTCACTTACCGGTCTTGGAGTCCTTTCCATCCAGCAAGGGCCGGTACTCGCTCTTGGAGACCGTCTCCCCCACCTTGTCGTCGTAGCTCTGCTTCTCCAGCGAGGCCACAAAGTCTCTCTTCAGCAGGGACTCGGCGGGTGCCCCGCCTGCAGCCCCTCCTCCGCCCCCACCCAGAGCGTCTCGTAGACTCAGGTCCATATTCCAGTTGCTGGTGACGAAAGAGGAGATTGCATTTATTATTTGTTGCCCAGTGTTGTTTGTTGTTGTCTTCTCAGCTGCAGAGAATGTCTGCTGTGCAGCAATCATGTCGGTAATTACACATATGAGAGACTGAGCGCTTTACACATTTTACACTCAGGTGAGAAGGAGATTGACTGCCTGCTTCACCCAATTTGCAGTTGATGCCTGATTACAAGAATGCGTGTTGTGTTCTCTCTTTACTCTGCTGTCCCTCATATGTATTTTATAACTCAGTGTCTAAGAGCTGTGCGGGTGGAAAACAGGGCTCCAGACTAACTTTTTGTCAGGTTGCACTGGTGCGCGTTACTTTTATATTTAGGTGCACCAGCACAAAATTTAGGTGCACCCAAGGTAATTTTTATCACGCCCCATATACCTTTATACATATTATGTAAATTATTTAAAACAAGAATAAGGTGTAGGTAAATGGGGAAAGAAATCTATGTATCTATCTATGGGTAGGGCTGTCACGATATCAATATTTTTGTTGTGCGATTATTGCACCAACATTTATTGCGATATTATTGCAATTTTCAGACCATTTTATGCCACTGATGCCACTGATAACATAATGACAATATAATAGCATAGTAATAAAAGTACGCTATTTCAAAGAACAAAGAACATTTTATTTGTCAGTATAGTTAGACATTAGAATCGTAATGTGAAAAAATATATCCTAAATAAATAAAAACATTTAAAAAAGCGGGCGAAGCATCGGGCTTGGTGCGATTCAGTCGGGTTCGAGAAAATGTGTCCAGCGGAAAGGTGCGCCGCGGCAGCCAGGGAGGTTTAACCCGGGGGTTCGACCGCCGGCAGGGCGACACGCTCCGCGGCTGCAGGGAGAGACAGAGCGGCCCGGAGGAACGCAGGACGGCGGTCCTCCCGCCCAAAGAGGCGAACGAGCAGCACGTTGCTTCATTTGCTCTTCTGCGCCATCAAGTGGACAATAAATGAAATGACACCATGGCTCTGTCTCTGATTGGTTTAGACCACCATATGATCCAACCATGAGTTCAATCAAAGGAGAACAACAACTTTGTTTGTTGAGAGGCAGCGGATGCGAGGACAGGTGCACCGGTGCGACCTAGAAAACATTTTAGTCGCACCAGTGAAAAATTTTGGTCGCACTCTAGAGCCCTGCAAGATGTTCTAGAATGTGTTTAAACTTCTCTTTAGTAGGGCATGAAAACAAAGTCTCTACAACAGCTGTCACGTCAATCATTTTCCTGATACCGTACTCAGCAGAAGGTCAAGTGCAATAACACCATATTGTATTCTTCTATGCTTTGTAATACAACAGTATTGGTAACGTTTGTAAAATGCATGCAATCAGAGCGCACTCACAAGACATCTCGTTAGCAATGTTAGCTTGTTACAACACGCTCGGACATCGATGCTGGTATTAAGTGCTCACGCTTCGGCTTCTTTGTAATGTTGTTGTGAGCTACACAGCTGAACTTTTCACTAAACCTTGGAGTGAGATGTTGTCGGGGGTGAAGCTACGGCCGACGGGGGTGTACGTTACGCTACGTGCAGCGAATCAGGTTACAGATGCGCTGTTTACCGACAGCGAGGTTGGAGATGAACCAGCGCGGATTTTTTTTAGGGTAGAAAATTGGATGTGTGGCGTGAGTGCGCGACAACATGCAAACGCGTGTGTCACACGGGGAAACAGTGAGAGTTGGCAGCCCTGTAGCTTTGTTGGCTAACTTGACAACAACTTTCCAGTCAAACATCAAGCAAGAGCAACACAAGACAAAGCGAGACCGCAAATAAGTTCCTGAATGGTCCAGCAGAAATATATACATGCAAAATAACCTACAATTTCACGCATTTGGGCCGATATGATCATGAGGTCAGAATGCACACAAAACTGTACCAAATAATACACACTTGATGCAATAGGCTACATGCTGGTGGAGCCTTAAGGAAAAATAATTATTCCATAAATTAAGAAATATGAATGTGAGAATTAATGTGAGAATATCAAACTCTATATGCAAGTAAATGAAGCATTGTTCAAACAGATGCCAGGAAAAAAAGGGAACCGTACAGATGTTTTATTTATTACTATCATAGATAAATATTCCAGTACCCTAGTTGTGGTATCGTATCATGAGTATAGGTACCGTAATATTTTGGCAGGTATAGTATTGAAGTCATAATTTTGGTATTGTGACAACCTTAGTATTGACCTTCATATATGACAAAACAACATTTTGTACATTGTAGTGTTTAAGCGCATTTCTGTGATGCGTTCAATGTTTCCAACATAGAAAAAATACAGGGAGAACAACTCGCTAGCTGAACCAACACAAACATAACTTCATCAACAGATGTCCTATACAAATGCATGAATAAAAAATCCCGTCAACTTGGATCAATTACGTCAGCCTCAACCTTACGTCTGGGTGCGACATGTCTGCTGAATGTCACACAAATAAACCCTCAACAAACTCCACTTTCTCCCTGTCCTCCATCTCTGTTCATCCGTCCGACCACCCGACCAGCAAACAAGCTGTCATTGTCTTGCAACTGTGCCACACACACGTTCCCTGTATTTTTATCTTTTTTTATACGCTTTTACCCATCCTGTGCCCATTGTACCACAAAATGATGTGGTTCCTTGTGGTCTTAATGAAATGTTTGTAACATACTTTGGTCCAAATACCACAAGGATCATTTAAAACAGGTCTCTCCACAGAGTGCCTGTTCCTTTAAATCCTAATGAGTCAGCGTATTGTGAATTAAGATATTAAATTTATCAGTAGTTGCTGTTTTTACCTGATGGTCTAAAACTCAAATTGGTCCCCAACTGTAGGCCATTGTTCCAGGGGCAGGACACAGTACAGTGCACGAGCAACACGCACACACACACACACACACACACACGCACACACAAACACACACACACACACACACACACACTTACGTTGTGATTCCACCCCTTTATTGGTCTCTGTTTTCGTTGTTTCTCTCTATGACTTTATTTTATTGTCTAGGAAATTATCTTGAATTGTGTTGTAATCACACAGCGCTGTCTCTCACCAACACACACACACACACACACACAAACAATGCATCCAATCATTCCATTGCTCCAATTCCAGAATGACCCAATACTTTCAGAGTATTATTCTGCAATATTTATCGCTCCATTGGAGAGGTTTGATGAGGCGGAATTTTCAGTGGCCAAGAGCTGGTGTCCTTTGTCTCATCCCAGTCATTGTGCTCTCAGTAGTGTCACATCACTGGCACTTTCCCGAGGTTTACAACTTTCTTAGAGGGGCGGCACACTGCACTTTTATGACCTTGACTTAAGATTTAGGAGAGATTTTGGAGGATTCTTTAAGTGCTTGTATGTATATTTATAACACAGTTCATTAACATTTATGCATTATGTGCGTGACCAAAACATAACTGGTTGTCATCAGTGGCCTACTTTGTGAAGGCAGAGTAAACAGCAGAATGTTCACCCCAAAAAGAGCCTCTTTTTAAACTTCTGTCCGATTAGTGATACTTTATTGCTTTTACTCAATAATCTTTTCTGAGTGAGAAAAGATATTATAAAATTTGAAAGATGTAGTCATTGAATGCATTTGTGCCAAAGAGTGTGAAGAGTTTTGAAAAAGTGATCGAAGTATTGAGAAATGTGTCAAAGCGACTGTAAAAAACAGTAATAACTCAAAATAAAAGGGGACAAAACTACAATCACTGGTCACCCAGGAGACCTATGTTAGTGTGTGTCCCTTCCCTGTGATCCATGATCCATATGTAACATACTTAACTAACATCCTTTTCCTTAGCTGTTTAGGTATGGCAACTAACGTGTTCCACCAACATACAACTCCAAAGGAAAACAACGTTTCCTTACTCCTTACTCCAGCTTCCAATGGTCACTTCCACATAACCACATTGGTCACCTCCACACCAGGGGAAGACAGCATTGTCGATTTCTTTTCATTGTTCCTCGTCTCAGCTCTGACGTAACTGGTTCGCTGGTGTTCAGGTTGCAATTTCAATCGCACAACACGGAGCAGTGTAGGCCTACAGGAGTATCTGGAACACAGCCAATCAGAGGCAAAGACCCGGCGCATCTCTGTCTCTGATTGGTTTAGACCACCATATGATCCAACCAGGAGTGAGTTCAATCAAAGGAGAACAAACTCAGATGCAGTGATGTTAAGGAGACGCCTGTTTTTACACTTTCTGAAGACTTTTTGAGCTCTGAATTTTTCTCAGACACTTCTGTTTTTGAATAAAGGGTTGGAAATGAATTCTTTTTTGTTTTTTTTAATCAAAAATCATCAATTAATCGGAAAAATAATCAACTGATTAATCGTATGTTAAAATAATTGTTAGTTGGAGACCCTAGTAATAATGAATGTGTGTCTGTTTGTGTGAAAGAACGAGAGATGATGATGCGGGTTGTTGGGTGCACGCATTTGTGCACTCTGAGGGATTAAAAACTACACCCACAATCCCCTGCTCCAGCATCCGCCACATCTTCCTCACACAGCCTTCTGCCACATAATCATCTCATCCTCCTAAATACTGACGGCTCTCATGCATACGCACACGCGGGATTGGCACTCCTTCAAATGCATCAATGTTCTGTGAAAATACAAGAGAGATTTGGTAGATAATATTTGTGTGCCCATGCGTGTGTGAGAGAGAATATGAACCGCACCCCAAATTAAGCTCTATTAACCTCCCTTTTCCGGCGAAACAACAGGTGAGATGATATATATTACAGTACAGTAATTGTTGTGTTTTAGGATCCAAAGGTTGCCCCAGAAAGGAGGGAGATGCCGAATCTTTTCAGATGTGCAGGAAAACAAATAATTTCCGATTCATTACGTACATACGCTTTAGTAAAAATTAGTAAAAATCTGTTATTCTATAATGAAATAATGTTTGTATGCAAAAATTCAATCAAACTTTCAATAAAAGTTAATAATTTATGTAATGCTCCCTGTTGCAAGTGTTTTTTAGGTTAGTGTGTTATGAGTAACATGTATGTTTTCTCAATGAGAATCTGTTGCCAGTGATGGTGGAACGAGCTTATTTTGAGACATTTATGAAGTGTTCTGTTGGTCCTCAGTGAGATTTGGAGATTAGATTAACTGTTTGGCCAAAATTAATCTTGGTAATGCGGACTGTGTGAAGAGGCGCTGACTACCCAATGAGCTGCAGATGTAGGTAATGCAACGTATGCTGAAGTATTCCAGTGCTTTCTGCAAGTTGGCCGTGCACTGATAATGCAACGTTGTACGTACATGAGGGCCTCTGAGTCTAAAACTCAGCAGCTTAGAGGAAACCTGAAGGTAAACACAGTTTGACCAGCATTTCACAATAAAAGGAGTATGCACGGAAGCAGGTAAACATGAATAATAGTGGAGTATTCATTTTTGTTAGGCATGTAAACAAGTTAGTGGGAATATTTTCTTTTTCAGAATTGGGGAAAATGATTTGCTGATTATTTTGTGCACGTAAACGTAACAAAAAAGATTTCCCCAAAAACTTTTATCATCATGTTAAATCAGGCGGTACAAAAATATACAAGACTGAGCAGATTGGGCCATTACTAAAGAAAATGTCAAACATGTTTATTGCATTGTATTCTAAATAAAATTCAATTGCTACAGTAAAGGGCACAACAACACTAGCGGCAAACCTAAATTAATTAACAAAAACTGCTTTTCTGAAATATCTCATGTCATTGAACCTTAAAATGTACGGATTTACAGCGTTATAACCTGAACATTTTGAAAAGGTCTGAAAGCTGGAGCTCCACATCTGTAGGTGAAACAATATAACCCTTTAGCTGTAAGAATATATGTAGATGTCCAGTCATTCCCCTCTAAACTCACAGCAGTGCTGACCTGTTTAATGTAAATGTGCTGACACTGGACACGTATCAGATGAAGCACAATGTGTGTGCCCTAGAACAAGGTCATGTGTGGTGACCAGCAGGATGAAAGACCCAAGGACGACTCCCAAGAGGTGTGGTTTAAGCACATTTGATATGGTGTCTAATCTGTTTTTTAGGGTTTTAGGGTTTAGGGTGTGCTAACAGAAACCCTGTCGTGGCTACCTGGACGGTCACTATGGTGACTCAGCAGCTTCTTGCTGTCTCCTTCGTGACGGGCACAGACTCGACACACACACGCATGGTGTCCTTCTGAAAAAAAACCGTGTCATCCCATCCAGACACATACACACGGCGGGTGTTGTTACGTGAGCGAGAGGCGCAGACAGTCGGCTAACTCTACAGACCAGGACTGTGCGGTATGGCCAAAAATCCATGTATTTAGAAAGATTCTGAAGGTGTCCCGGTATATGACGGTATTGAACAGTACGTGAGAAATTCATACCGTCCGGAAATCTTATACCGGTATACCATTTGAACCGGTATACCGTGCAGCCCTACTGCAGACCGTCATATGTGGCTCGGGGAGAGGGGATGAAGGAAAGGAGACAAGATGAGATGAGAGAACACTCAGTGAAGAAAGCCAAACAGTAAATTATGCCGTGTTTAAACTGAAGCTCCAAGTGTTTGAGTTGGGGCTGCAAATAACGATTATTTTGATAATCGATTAATCGGTCGATTATTTCTTCGATTAATCGATGAATCGGATAATTTCCAATCTAAAACAGAACTGCAAATTCATATTGCAAAAATAGTGCAAGTTAAGTAAATGTATACACCACATATAAATACAGCTAAAAAATAAGTGCTATGAGAGGAATTTCAAATGACATTAAAAGGTACAACACACACAGACATATTTGTCAACAATAATCGATATGAGACAAAGAACAAAATAAATACATGACAACAGATTGAAAGATTAAAGGCGAGTAAATAAAAACGTGTCTTTAGTCTTGCTAACTGCTTTACTGCTGTTATTAGCGAGCTAGCTTGTTTAGCTGGAGGATCCTTACGTTCCTCACGTCGAAACGGGACAACGCGTTGCTCCCGTGCCATGTTATGTTGACTGTTGACTATGTTGACTTTGCATATTTTGCCATTAACACATTTTTTTTGTTTAAATAGCGTGAAATGCTCGCACACCTTGGACGACTTAACTCAAAAAGACTTCTCTGTCTGCGTGATGTGACTCACAACAACTGCCGGCGCTGCTGGCTGCTCTTTCCTCTACGTCGGCTCGGCTCTTTTGTATTTTTTCTCAGCGCGCATCTCCGCAACTCATTGAGTGACGCATTAATCGCGCGACACGACAAAACGCTAATGAAATTCGTTGCAGCCCTAATTTACACCTGTGCTTTTCGCTACTGTGACGACTCAAAAGTGTCTGCCGTGAAGAGTATGTTTCATAGTATACTGTAATTCTACAGCATACGTACTGTAAATTACAACAACGAGCATAATACTGTAAAACAAAACACTGTACAGTGGTCTATAGAAACAGCCATATACCGTTATTTTACTGTTCCTACCGTGGTGTCCATGAACAGTTGATTACTGTAAAATGTTTTACAGCTGTTCCACCAGCTGCTATAATCGCCCCAAAAACAATGTATTGATTTAAATTACGAATAAATATGTAATAATAAATATTTGTTTCTATTTTAATTTTATTTGAAACAAAACCGAGATGTAATTTTTACCAAACTATGTTTCATTCACCTAACTATAGTAGTGTTTTTTTGCACTACAACACTTTGTGTACTACACGCAGTGACTTTGCTAAATATTGTAGGGCAGCATCAGGTCTGGCATTGCTTTTCTAACTTGATAAATAACAGGAATAAACATTCAAAGTTTTTCTTTAAATCCACAATATAAACCGTAATTAAATTAAAACTAAATTGAATAGAGCCGATCCAGCTAGTCAGTATCGGTGCATCCTTGTTCGTCACACAGTAGACACTGCGATGTCTACTCAAACTCTATGGCCCGTTTTCAACGGGAGAACTAAGATGTCCCCATAGCAACATGATTCCCGGGGAAGCTGTCCGTGCACTGGTGGCCTATCGATTAACGAGTTGGTGGGGCATTCGTCATCCTCAACACGCACTGAATTTCATGTGAGAAACTGACAAAAAAAAGAGCAAAAGCAGACGCAAACGGAGACAGACAGACATGAGCATTGATCAGAACAATGTGTACTAATCCACATAGAGGCAGTGTGTGTGTATCATTGTATAATGGCAGGCTTACTCCCTATCGAACATCACAGACCCATAAACTGGTGCAAGGCTGTGTAGCATCGGGGAAGACAAAAAAGCTCTTTATATAACAAGAAGGCCCTGACTGCTCTGGAGCTGCACCTGCTGCCTCTTAGACAGATACGCTCCCGTAGTAAATGTTGCAGACTACTGAGCACCAAAACGCGCAGGACACAGAGGGCCTGTCGTCCCGTGTAAGAAAATACGCGTTAAAGAGGCAAACTCTAAAATGGCATCAGATGCAATGAGGCTACTGCACTCATTAATGCTTGCCGGGGAGTCCTACGAGCCAGCGCAGGGATATCACAGCGACATCTTCGGATTACCACAGCCTAGTGGGTTTTTAGAAGGTCGGGGTGTAGCATCCCCGACTGCGGCACCGCCGTAACAAAGAGACCCGAACCCACGGACGGACGAAGCCCCCCGCTCCCCCTTCCCCCTCTCACACGCCCACCATCCATCCACCATTGCAACGGGAAGCACCGCACAGCGACACGTCGAGACGTCCCGTATGCCATGACTAAGATAAATATAGGCCCACATCCACGCCGCAGCAGCGCGAGAGCTAAATAAAGCAATGACCACGACGTGAATGTCATCGTTTACTCAGCGCGAGGACACAGTGGGCTCAACGACGAAAACCCGAGCAGCGACAAGTCGAATATTCCATCTAAAATGTAAAACAAGCCACTTTACTCACCGTTTGGATGAGTTTCGTTTATGTCACAGAGCGCGTTTGTGTCTGTGTGCGCGTTTGACAGTCAGTGCGCGTGAAGATGAGAAGCTCTCCACCTTTCGCTGCTTGCAGCGCAGACTGGGGCCCGGACTCAGATGAAAGCCCCGCCCTCTTTCCAGCCGGTTCAGCCAATCAGTAGCGAGGAAGAAAAGAAAAAAAGGGAACCTTCTGATGATTCTGCAGGGAGCGGGGATGCTGCCACGAAGACTTAATAACAAAACGAAAACATTTTAGAGTCAATTTCTCGAATTGTAATCACCAATTAAGTTCGTAAATGGAAACATTTAAACTGAGAATAAATAGTTTCTTAATTTTTGGTCGCAAATCCCAAAACCTTTGCTCTCAAAACGAAAAAAGGGTTTTGAAACCCCACTTCTCTGGACACCGATGAGCTGTAAGGCCTTGTAAAAGTGTTCCAACTGTCTATCTGATTGCCGTGTTATGAAAAGCATGCCCCGATTAAAATCACATTATATTTACTAATGTTTTTCTCACATGCACCATTAGCTATTACCTGACTGCCTTTCTTAATTTTGGCAACCTTGTACTCAAAACTTTATTAACTTTATTTTTTAATGCTCACACATAGGCATAGCCTCTGAATTTGAACCCTAAGGATTTTTGGAGCATCAATTAATCAAGCCTGTTTCATTTTGGGCCACCAGTAAAACAAAGCAGCAACTTACTTGAATGTACTCTGGGTTTATGAATGAGTCTCATCTCATCTTTTACCACTTCTACTACATTTTTGGTCAGGTTGCAATGGCAGCAGTTCCAGCAGGGGACCTCAAACTTCCTTTCCAGGGCCACATCTACCAGCTCACACTGGCGGATCACCAGGCATTCCCAGGCCAAGGTGGAGATATAATCTCTCCGCCTTGTCCTGGGTCTTCTCCGGGGTCTTTTCGCAGATGACCATGCCGGGAAAACCTGAGGACATCCAGATGCCAAAACCACCTTGACTGTCTCTTTTCCACGCAAAGTAGCAGCGGCTCTATTTTGAGATCCTCACGGATGGCTGAGCTTCTCACCCTATCTCTAAGAGAGACACCAGCCACTCTCCTGAGGAAACCCATTTAGGCTGCTTGTACCCGTGACCTAGTTCTATCGGTCATGACCATCCTTCATGACCATAGGTGAGGGTAGGAACAAAGATTGACTGGTAGGATTGAGAGCTTTGCCTCACGGCTGAGCTCTCTCTCTCTGTCACAACAGTGCAATAAAGCAAGTGCCACCCCCGGTGCTCCCATTCTCTGGCCAAACTCAAACTGCATATTCTCCATCTTCTCACTCGGAAACAAGGACCCGGGGTACTTGAACTACTTCACTTGAGGTAAGATCACATTTTCTACCTGGAGTAGGCAATGAATTGGTTTCCTGCTGAGAACCATGGCCTCAGATTTGGAAAACATTCAATAATGGAAGACAATCAACAGAATGTCAATAGGCTACAATGTTGGCACTATGTTCAAAGTGTATTGTGTTGCAGAGATATCTCCTGAAGTGGCTGGTTAACCAGCTAGCCCTGGCCCGTCCTGTCTTGTGTAAGAATTGTGTTTAAACTTTCTCGTGGTCTGTCTTTAAAATAACACTGAATAGATGGTTAAATTAAAATCAAATTCAGCTCAGGGATTGGCTGAGTCCACGTCAGGAACCTTCATAGCTCCGCAAACCCTAACTGTTTTGTTGTTTCGTCCGTCACTACCTTCTTCACTATTACGCAACCCATGTAATGACTGAAAACAGAACAGTGTATGGCTATTAGAATCCGTGCATCATTCGTTCCTTCGTTTTTCAATTGGGAAACCAAGAACGAAAAACGGGCTACTGGCTGACATTTATTTAGAAAGTTTGCTACCTGTTTTGTGACGCAAAATATTTCTAAATGTATTCCACTAATGTCTCTTAATCTTATGTAAATGCATTTCGCCACAAAAAAGAAGAAGTCGAAATTAGGATTTAAGATATGCGCAGGCTGCGCATATCTTGGGGTGGGGTGACAGGGTTACCATTGGCGGACCTGAGGCAACGGGTTGGGGCGTGGAGGGGGAGGAGGTCTGAGAGGTAGGTAGAGGCCAGGTTGTTTAGGGCTTTGTAGGTGATGAGTAATACTTTGAAATCTATTCTGTATTTTACCGGAAACCAGTGGAGGTTGCATAGGACCGGGGTGATGGGTTCATAGCGGCGTTCATGTGAGCAGTCGAGCGGCAGAGTTGTGAACATATTGCCGTTTGTTGAGGGTTTGTTGGGAGAGCCATAGAGGATGCTGTTGCAGTTGTCGAGTCTGGAGGTTATAAGTGCATGGATGAGAATTTTGGTGGTGGCAGAAGAGAGGCAGGGTTTGAGCCGTGCAATGTTCTTGAGGTGGAAGAAGGCAGTCTTGGTGATGTGGTTGGCCAGCCTGATCTCCAAAACCTGTTCGTAAAAATGTATACGAAAATCTTGAACATACAAATTCGTAGTGATACATACTAAATAAATACGGACTGCAACTGATGACGTCACCCTATTCAAAGTGAATGGGGACCTGCACCCCGTAAACACACTTCGTGAAGTCTAACGATGTAAAATAAACGTGTTATGATTGCATTTTTAACGAGAAATCAATGTTAACTTGTAAGAATAGAATACTAACCCTAACCCCCTCAAAAAATCCAACATGGCGGGGAGACGTTCACTCAAGAATCCAACATGGTCCGCCATGTTGTTCACTCAAGGGGCGTGGTTAACCACCGCCAGTTCGTATGTATTGTTTACGAATTTGTATGTTCAAGATTTTCGTATACATTTTTACGAACAGGTTTTGGAGATCACGTTGGGTTGGCATGGGGTAGGAAAGAAAGGGTGGGGTCGAGGATGATACCGAGGTTGCGGAGAAGGCTGGAGGTACTAACGATGGAGCCATCAATATTGAGAGTGAAGGTCTGGGCTGAGCGGATGAGGGTGGTCAGGCCAATAATGAGTATTTCAGATTCATTGCAGTTGAGTTTGAGAAAGTTCTGTTGCATCCATGATTTTATGTCAGTGAGAGTGGAGTGGATACTGCGGTGATGGTCTTTGAGAAAAGGTAGAGTTGGGTGTCGTCGGCGTGTTACGCCGCTGGGGCCACAAGGGTTTAGACTCAAAAGCAGACCCAAGGCGTAGTAGTCAGAGGCAAATATAGTCTTTACTTCAGGCAGGGGTTCGGTACGCTGGTAGTCAGACAGAGAAGGTGGATCAATCGAAATCGGCAGGCAAAGGTTGACGGAGGGACGGAAAAGGGTCAAAACACGGGAAGGCACACTCAGGAGAATCGCGGGTAAGCTCATTGGGAACAAAGAGACAAACTGGCAAAGAGCAGGCTGTTGGCACAAAGTAATTACACATCAGAACGAGACACAGGTGGAAACAATAAGGTTGGGGCTTGCAATCACAGGGCGGTGGCACACATGGAGGAGGTGTCTGAAACGAGAGGGAAAGGTGAGTGACAGAAACACAACAGAAAACAATATGTGACCTAATGCCCCAGTCTGGGTGTTACACGGCGTAGTAGTGGAAGTTGAGGCCATGATGACGGATGATTAAACCAAAGACTCTGAAATCAACCCTCTCTGTCGGGATTAGCTTCTCTTCATTCACAATTGATTCTCCCGTCCACCCTCCTTCTGTCCTCTCCGTCCTTCTTTCCTGGTCTGACAGAGTGTAATAGCCAGCCTGCATCATCTCTTTCCCTTTCTATCATCAGCACCTTCGTTCTTGTTTCACCCAAACCCAATGTCTCAGCATTCATCCTTTCACTCACTCCTCCTTTGCTATGATCTCAATCCTAAGACTATCATTCCTGCCTCTTAGCTGTAACCCACCACGGGCTTTCCCTCTGTAAGTAATGGTAGATGATTCAAACTAAGATATACGTTCCTACTTTAAGACACTGTTACCAGGCATCTGTAGCCTGCTCCTTCTCTCATGATCAAATGACCCCCTAGCATAACATAACACAAACTGTCGGCAGTCAAGTTGCATTGTGGGTAGTGTAGTCGCCAGGTTGTAGCAGGAAGGAAGGAGGCTTAAAAACTGTTGGGGGTTTTGGCCGCTGAAAGCTCAATCTCGTTATAAACTGCCCCACCACTTCTCAAGAACCGCTCATTGGCCCTTGACTCCCGGGAAGGGACGAAGGGTTTAGTTAGAACCTTGCTGTATCCAGCATGTCTCTGGCCCCCCATCCACACACCCGTCAAGTGCGCAACAGATTGGCTAATATTTTCTAAGCAACCCTGAGAGTTTCAATTCATGCTGAGCCAAACCTGAATGTTTCAAAATGTATGACAATCCATCCAATAGTCTGATTTAACTAAAAGTGACAGGTTCGGTAGGATACATTCTCCTAATCCATGATTAACTGTGTATAATGGCGCAATTCATCACATAGATGTTTTTATACATTCATATGAAGATATTTCTGTCTGCGTCAAAGCCAGGGGCGAAAAGACAGACGTTGCCACCCACATAGCTCCGGCTATAGCAAGTTCAGGTATACATCATGTATACTATGCATTTGTTTTTATGTAATTGGATCATGAGACCATCTGCATGTGCAGATGCAGATGGTATTTAGTGCGCTTCTTGTATATAGTCTAAATGACTCACTGTACGTTTAACATCAAACTCGGTCTCCATGATCCATTTACAGTGCAGGTCTGTTCAAAATTTCTTCGAACCACGTGTCCCAGCCGTTTTGGGCGGGCATTATACCTTCCGTGCATTCCGCTGTTATATAAAAGGTATAACAAGCAGGGCAGTGTCCAGCGTGGAAGAAAACTTTATTTCTTAATTTTATGTAAGGAGATCCCCTTTCATCACAGTTAGATGAGCTTCCAGGAATGATGGCAGTGCAGACAGTCTTTGCTTTTCATTTTACCTTATTGATACATTTAGACTTTATAGTCAGTCCTATCACGTATTGTATTCCCGCCAGAATCTTAAATACAACTAGTTGAACTGATCATTGAATTATTGGTGCGATGCGCATAAAAACATGAAATCAATAGGGAAGAATGTTTAAATTTCAGCTTGGTTTAACAAAGCACTTGCTGTCAAGAGTGTGGGAAAGATCAGGAATCAGAC